TATGCAAGGTTAATGATAATAGAAGAAAAATTTTTTGTTCATTAACAACATTATATTAATTATTCAAGGTCATGAATTTTATAAAATCTTCTTGTCAATAAATGTGTAAGTATATATTAAAGATAAGATAGTACATTTCATTTATATCGTATCTACTTATACCTAATAGTATAAAGTAATTACACATCTTATCAATTAAAATTGTTAATGTAAAATTAGCTTTGTTGAAATACTGTACTTATTAGAGCAACAGCATTCACAAATCATAAAAAACTACATCAATTTATTTGAGAAAAAAACAATGAAAATAGTTTGAAATTTATTTGTTACCAAAAATTCTATCATATCCTTGCCAATTAATCTACATATGGAAGTCCACCCTTAAATTTCTATGACTGTACTCAAGAATTTCTCCAAACAAAATTGTACTGGGTTGGTCTAAAGCTGCTTGTAATTCTAATGCTAAATACTGGTTTTACAAGATATGGTTGCCCCCAGTGAGTAGATCCTCACGGAAATTCATAGGGAGTTAGCCTACCAACTAGAAATGTCAGGTTTTACTATAGTGAGTCAGATTCTAGAGTGTGTTGCCAAAGTTTGGAATCCTAACCAATTAATCAGTGAATATGATGGACTCCATGTCTAGATTAGATTATATTAATTAGATTATATTAATTAGATTAGACTAGATTAGATTAGTTTAGATTAGATAGAACTGTTCACTATAAAGAATGGAAATTACATCAGCCCTTCAAAGACTTAAGATGTTTTGACAAGGTGGCAGGGTTTTGAGAAAGGAAAGAGAATATAGAAATGTAATTAAATGATGATCTCTAAAATCAACAAAAAGAAATTAACCTAAAGACTGGAGATTTCCTTCATCCATTAACACAAAAATTCAGACATCATAGGAATTCTGTGTATTATTGGTTGCTTGAAGGTGGAAGTGTCATAGGTCAAAGAACATGGGTAGCCCCTATAATCAGACATCTCAGGGCCATATTGCAAAGACGTGAATTTGCCTAGCAAATGTGAAAGAATGTTTTTCATATTTTTCTGGGAATTTCCAGATGAGAAATTAGTGTCTCCATTTCAACATATACAGAGAACTCTGTCATGACATACTCTGCCCTCCAAAATATGAGCAAATTAAAAGAAAATTGGAATGGTGGTTATTTTTTCAATCTTAATTGAAAATGGAGAGTATAATGTGGAGTTTCTGGCAAATGGCTTATTTATCTCAAATACTTCATCAGTTAGATCCCTAGGTCTTGCTGGGCAGAATGTCTACTTTAATCATTCTATTTTAAATGAGTGATCCTGAGTCAAAGACTTACTAAAATAGACATCGACTAAGGAAGACATTCTATATGAACCACTGCATGCTTTTCAAATGCCCATGAGTGCACACCTCCACATACATTGGTACATACATATTAGCACTTAGATAAATACATACAAAAATATGAAGATCATTTTACTTTAATATATTTTCCATATACCTTTATCTCTAATATTTCTAAATTTGACACTTTCTCATTTTGTTACTCAATTGTTCACGGAATATTATTGGTAGTGTCTTTTTAAAACATCAAGGTACAACCTGCCTTTGTAGAGGGGATTCCCCTTAAATTTTGTACCTGCAGAAAGTCATATATTCTCTTTGTCCTATCCTTGTACTTCAAAGAAATAGGCAGTTCCTGAGACTCTTCATACTATGTTTGATATTTTCTTTGCAGTGCCCTCTTGTACCTGTTTGATGATGTGTTAATTTATCTTGCCTCTGATGCTCAAACCAGAAACTACTAGGATGGGCAGCTTCAGTAAGTTTTTGGTGCATGACAAAGCTGTAAAATTAGCTATATTTTAATTGAAATTACAGAAAACTTATTTTTATTGAGGCAACATGGCTTAATTTTTTTTCTGTTAAACTGGAAGATTGGGAGAATGCCCATATATACTCTATTTGCAAGTTGGTATTGTATATATTTCATGAATACCTAACATCCCAACAATTTTACAATAAAGCCTACTAGCCAATAAGTCCTCCAGATCCAAATACCTTTTAATTACAAGATAAAGCAGGGATTGAGATTCTATTTTTGTGAAGCCTGTTGTTGAAAGTATCTCAGTTAATGTAAATATTATATTTATCACTATAATTATAATTAATAATCTTTTAAAAATGCTTAAATGTAAAAGGAGACAAATTATATTTAGTAAAAAGAAAGGTAGTGTGTTTATCCAATGAGTTCTGAAGAGCGTTAGTTTTCCACAGATAGAGATTGTGTGTTTAAAAATTAGATACCAGGTTATATGTAGATCAGTGTGTGTGTGTGTGTGTGTGTGTGTGTATGTGTGTGTGTCTGTCTGTCTGTCTGTCTGTCTGTCTGTCTGTGTAGTTGTAACTTTTGCAACATCTTAAAATAGTATTATTATGACAAACTAAATAGTCTCTTTAAAAATTACTTAGGTTGGAGATTATAGTCACCTGAAGTTCAATTAAGTTGAGGAACATAATTCTATTTGGACAATGTCTTTTGGAAAAATAACTGCTATTAACTTCTGTGCTGGAAGCAAAATATCAACTTCGTTATACAATTTATTCTCTCTATAGGCATAGCCTTAAATAAAGAACAATATTAAATACATTTAGGGTTTTGGGAAAGTTAGCACAAAGTATTTCTATTCAACATGATTTGAAAAAACAAAAATAATCAGTCCTCTGTAACAATGTCAAATGTCTATATTTTCTCTTTAGCATCAAATATAAGTTTAATGAAATTTACTTTAATCATGAGTCCTAAACATTTTTTCTGGGAATGGAGTTTGGTTTGGCTTGGTGTCTGGACATAAAATGAGTCTAACATGAGATTATATTGCCTTTAGCAAAATTACAGCTTTTCACAAAACCTCAGTCCTTTGTATTTTTTCCAGACAATGAACTATAAGTGCCACAGTCCTCCTCCTTCTTCTGGTGGCAGCAGCTAACTGTGTTACACACACAGACACACATACACAGACACACAGATACACAGACACACACACACACATATCAGCATATTTAATATGTGTGTGTACATGCATACATATAGACATATTATATGTGTATACATATATATGTATACCTTATAGATACATATGTATATTTGTAACATAAGGGTTTACATAAAATGGTTATTATATGGGAGAAAATAATAAAACTATAATTAACTTTGTCTTCATCATTAGTATTCTTGTTTTGAGAAGTTTCCATTGTATTTGTTTAAAAGAACAATGGCTGTGGCATATCTAGAAGATTTTTTTGAAGCAGTCGCTCCATCCTTTGACTCTTAGACTGTGAAATTCTTTTCTTTTTCCTCTTTTCTGGATCCATACTATCCTCAATGTTACTGTAGTTAATATTGATTTCTTTCAACTTGCAAATTCCTACATGGTGCGAACAATTGGAAAATAAATATAGTACTAATTTATTAGCATATTTAATCCTTTACGGTCACTTTTATAAGGCTGCATCCTGAGGAATTCTTGTAAAGAGCCAGGCAAGTAACTAATCATCACTAACAAGTGCTGTGTATTTAAGAAATTGAAAATGCAATAATTTTCTTGGACTTCTAACTGCTAATGAAACAACTGAAAAAAAAAAGCTAGAGCTTAATTCACTTTCATTCTTTCTATATATTTTAGAGAATTCTACTTTAGAGCACCAATCAATTGAAAAAGCAATCTAAGTCAGAAATTCATAATAACATTATTAAATCAATTAACCTACTAATGGTGACTGCCAGTTCATATTTAGGAAAGACTCAGTAGCAGTAAAATTAAAGTATAGTCATAATTTTTTCTTTGTTCCAAGCATTGACGGGAGAGAAATAATAAAGCTTTTTTTTCAGCTTTGTCTTTAAAATTAATCAGCTTGTTTTGAGAAGCTACAAAATGGGTCATGCTATCGAATGGGGAATCTATTCTAAAGTGCTTCCCATTAAGTAAAAATTATTTTCCTGTAACCTTTTTTTAATTGCTTGAAGCACAATTACCTTCACTGATTTATTCTCTGTTTAATGACAAAGTGAAATAAATCCATGTTTCTACATCTGATGTCCCAGTACTGACAGGTTCCCAAATATATATCAACTAGGTTTAATATGTTTTCACTGTAGTAAACATTTCCTATTGCTGTCTGTAAGGAAAGCGCAGTGTAGAACGTACTGAGTTGTTCACTAAAAATAAATAAAACATTCAGATATGCATTTAATGCATGATAGATATAACTACTCTATACTTAGAAAACTGTGTTCTACACAGAAATATTGAATGTAAAAATCTTGGCTTCTAAGAGGTTGGCATGTTTCTATGTGAGGGAATTTGTAAATAATCATTAGAAGAAAAGATTTTGTTTGATACTATGTATTTGAGAACCCATACTTGCCTATGTATTTGGAAACCAACTTATTTTATGATGATTCATTACAAATAAGAGCATTTCAACTACTGACAATATAATGAAAGAGATAAAAAATCAATTGGTTAATGAGTTTTAAAAATCAAAAACATGTGAAGGTAAGTTTGTCATGAGACAGTGAGTTGTATTTAGATCATCTTTGTATTATTTTATTTGGAATGAAATAATAAAATGGCATAAACTCACTAACTAACCAAATACAGCAGTTTGTTTCCACATATTTCTAGAAACTAGAGAACCTACTGAAGATATCACTTTTAGTGTAGTGTCTGTTAAGTTTGGTTCAGGTAATCAGCTTGCTATCTACTTTGGGTGCATTCTCAGCATGTCTATTGTTGGGATGAAACCATGACCAAATGCAACTTTGAGGAGGAAAAGGTTTACTTCACCTTAAAATTTCAGGTAACAATCAAATCACTGATTAAACTCATGGAAAGAACTCAAGCAGGGAAGGAGACTTTAGAACTGATACAAAGGCCATGGAGGATTATCATTTACTACCTTGTTCCACCTGTTTATTCTGTTTGCTTTCATACAGAGCCGAATAGTACTACTTTCCCAGCAGTGGCAATACCCAGAGTGAGCTGAGACTTCTCACATCAAACATCAAACAAGAAAATGTATCACAGGTTAGTACATATTCCAGTGTAGTGGATCCTTTTTCAATTTCAGACAGTGTTACCACTCTTGTGACAGATGCTCTCAGACGATGGATAAATTCTCACACATACTTTATTCCCTCTGGGTAGGATCTTATATAAAATTTGGGGTAGGGTGTGTCTGACAGTAGGTGCTTCCTATTAGCTTTGCCAGAGATGCCTCATCTACATGATGAAGGAAATGGGGGAGCTGCCCCTACATGACTGATGTCTGTAATTCTCTCTGTGGGGGCTGTGGCTATGTGACAGGGGCTTGAAGTTAGGAGCGTTTGTAGCTCCTACCATCCCTTCTGGGTCTCCAGCACTCCAAGCCATTGTTCAACCTTACCAGGTTTCTTCTCATGGTCTACCACCCCACAGAGAACCCTATGGAAGAGTTAGAGAAATGATTCAAGGAGCTGAAGGGGATGATAACCCCATAGGAAGATCAACATTGTCAACTAACTGGAGCTGTGGAAGCTGCCAGAGACTAAGTGACTAACCAAAGAATATATACATGCTGATTCAAGGCTCCTGGATTATATGTAGCAGAGGACTTCCTTGTCTGGCCTCAGTGAGAGAGGATGTACCTAAACTTGTAGAGACTTGATGTCGTAGGGTAATGGAACCGAGGGAGCACCATCTCAGAAATGAAGGGAAGGGAGTATGTGATAAAGAACTTTGGAGGGAGAACCAGGAGGGGAACAACATTTGAGATGTAAATTAATAAACTAACTAATTAAAAAAAATGGTCAAATAACTTACATAATGTTTTTTTAATACAGGCATAGAAATGGGACAAAATGACACCCTATAGTTTGGGAAAAGATATTCACTAACCCTATATCCAAAAGATATATACATATATATATACATATATATATACATATATATTCATATATATATATATACTCAAAAAGACACCAACAAACAAATAACCCAATTTAAAAAGGGGGTACAGAGCCAAATGTAATTTTCAACAGAGAAACCTTGAATGGCCAAGAAGCATTAAAAAAACTGTTATATGTCCTTAGTCATCAGGGAAATGCAAACCAAAATAACCTTGAGACTTCATCTTACACCCATCAGAATGCGTAAGATCAAAAACTCAAGCAACAGCACGTGCTGTCAAGACTGGGACAAAGGGGAACACTCTTCCATTATTTGTGGGATCGAAAACATATAGAACCATTCTGGAAATCAATCTGGCTGTTTCTCAGAGAACTGGAAATACTTCTACTTGAAGAATCAATGATTCCACTCCTGATCATATACCCAAAAGATACTCCACCATATCACAAGGTCATGTGCTCCATTATAGTCACAACAGCTTTATTCATAACAGCTGGAAATTGGAAACAAACCAGATATCCCACAACCAAAAAATGGATACGGAAAATGCAATTTGTTTACACATTGCAATACTACTCAGCTATTAAAAACAAAGAAATCATGAATTTTGAAAGTAAATGGATATATCTAGAAAATGTCTTGGGCAAGGTAGCACAGACCTAAAAGGACATGTATGGTATGTACTCATAGACAAGGGGATATTAGCCATAAATACAGGATACCCATGATACACTCCACAGACTAAAAGAAACTAAACAAAAATAATGATTATTTGGATTGTTGTAAGATGAATTTAAGCAAGGAAGCATAAATCGTATTTAGAAGTGGAAAGAAAAAGCCCAAAGTAGGAAGATTGTGGGAGAGAAATCGGTGGGAGAGGGGATGGGAACATGAATAGGGGGTCAGGATCAGGTGTTGGGAAAGAGGAGAGAGGGCCAGAGGGCCAGGAGAATGTCTGCAGCTGCCAGGGGTGGGAGTGTCTGGGGAATATCCAGGAAGTGCCAGAGACCTGGAGTAGAGGAAGCTCCCCAGAGTCAAGGTGAATAACCTTAGCTGAGATTCATAGCAGTTGGGATAAGGAACCTGAAGAGGCTACTTCCTGTGGCCAGGCAGGAATTCCAATGGAGTAACAGAGACACCAACCCACCCACAAAACTTTCGAACCAAATTTGTTCTGTCTAAAAGAAATCCAGGCACAGAAAATGGAGCAGAGGATGAGAGAATAGCCAACTAACAACTGGCCATCTCATGGGCAAGTACCAATCCGTGACACTATTAATGATACTGTTATGCTAGCAGACAGAAGCCTAGCATAGCTGTCCTCTGAGAGGCTACACCAAGCATCTGACTGAAACATGCAGAAACCCACAGCCAAATATATTGAAGCTCGGGGACTCTTATGGAAGTGCTGGAGGAAGGATTGAAGGTCCTGAAGGTGATAGGAACTCCATAGAAAGACTAAAAATTTCAACAAAGCTGGATCCTTTGGGGCTCTCAGAGACTGAGCCACCAACCAAAGAACATGTACATGCTGGACCTAGGCCCTACATACATCTGTAGATTATATGCAACTCAGTCTCCCTGTGGGTCCCCCAACAACAGTACTGGAGGTTGTCCCTAAAACCATTGCCTGTCTGTGGAACCTGTTACCCACATGGACTGCCTTGTCTGGCCTCAGTGGGAGAGGATGTATTTAACAACTTCAGAGACATGCTGTGCCGGGGTGGGAGAATATCCAGTGGGGTACCCAACCCTTTTGAAGGAGAAAGGGAGTAGGAATGGTGTAAGGGAATTTTTGAGTGGAAGACTAGTTGGGGGGCAACAGTTTGGATGTAAACTGAGAATATAGATTAAGTAATGACAAAAACTAGTTAAGTAACTATTGCATACTGCTATAGAAATAATCCTTGAAAAAAATGTCAAATTCATGCTGGAGGAAGGAAAATTTGTTATTTTTTTTTATCCTTCCACTGATAAAGTGTCACTAGAATTTTGTAATATGTCAAAGATTGAACACTCATTTTAAATTGCTCTTAAATCTAGATTTCCTTTGGATTCTTTTTTATAAATTTTGTATTAATGCTTATTTAATCCCAAAGAAAGACTATCATGTCAATATCTTCTATTATTACTCCAGTGTGTTTTTCTCCTGACAGAGGTTTGTTGTCCTTTATTTAGATGTGTTACATTTGAAGTGTACATACTCAGTACTAATTAAGCATTTAGAAAATACTACTTATTGAAGTGTTATACTAGATAAACTTACTATTTATTAAACTGGTTGACGATGCTGTGGTATAGAATATCATGGCCTTGCAACCTGAATAGCTAGAATGATCATAGTTAGGAGATTTTGAATGTCAGTGTGATATTCAAAATTAGTTTAAAGGCTCCAGATGAAATATAAATTACCTTTGGAACACTCCTGTTCCCATGGCAATTTGTAAAGGAAAAACAAACCCTACTTCTTTTTCTGTTGAAGCCTATTTAATCTTTTGAATTAGAGAGCTATGTCCAATCTTATAGCAGCTGAGATGTCAGGTAATAATGTACTCTTGAAACGCTATTTTAAGATTGCATTTTATGGATGGGAAGTTGGTGAAGCATTATTTGTGTAACTTCTTTATTCTCCCATAGCCATTCTTTAATAAGGTCACACACATAAGAAAAAAAATGTCACAACGAAGAATGTTGATGTTTATTGTCTTTCTCAAACCTATTGAAATTTAGACATTGAATGATGAAATGTATTCCCTACATGATGCAACTTTGTTTTAAATGGAAGTTTTGTAGGTATCCTAGGATGACTTTGATCTTAAAATTCTCTCGATTCATACCCTTGAATTCTGAGACTACAGAAGCCAGGTGCCACAGGTGCTGCCAATTTGCTTCCCCTACTCAAAAAAAAAAAAATGGATAAGATCACAATATCCCATTAATAACAACAGAGACATTTACGTGTGCAACACATCCTCCTGATGATTTAATGCTTCCAATTTATTTCAAATTTGAAACCAAAAATGGGTCTATATTTTTGTACCCTGTCATCAGTCTTAAATTCTAAAACTCATCACTATTTAATTTTCTGCAAAATTGAGACTTGTAGATATAATTCTTGAAAATAAATAATTTCACAATTTTCCATAAACCATAATAAAATAAAAATAAATATCTCCATAATTGTGGGAGCAGATACAAGATAGACAGGAATAGAAATCTGGGTGAAAAATATACCCAGTCTTAATTTCTGTAGACTAAAATTTCCAAAATAGTGTAGCTTACCCAGTGTCTCACATTAAACAAATGGGAAGGCTAGATTATTCATCAGCCACATGTAGGTTGAAGCTCTAAATTTTACACATGTGAAACAATGCAAAATACTTCTGTGTTTCAACCCTTAAAATGTTTGCATTCCATTTAAAAATCTCTTCTATAGGATATGGCCTTTTGTGCTGAATTAAGTAGAAAACTGAAACCTATTAACAAAACTACTCCAGACAACCAAATTACCCTATTAAAAAATGGGGTATAGAGCTTAACAAAGAATTTTCAACGGAAGAAACTCGAATGGCCGAGAAGCATCTAAAGAAATGTTCAGCATCCTTAGTCGTCAGGGAAATGCAAATCAAAACAACCCTGAGATTCCATCTCACACCAGTCAGAATGGCTAAGATTAAAAACTCAGGTGATAGTAGATGCTGGCGAGGGTGTGGAGAAAGAGGAACACTCCTCCATTGTTGGTGGGACTGCAAGATGGTGCAACCACTTTGGAAATCAGTGTGGCGGTTCCTCAGAAAATTGGACATAGCATTACCCGAGGATCCAGCTATACCACTCCTAGGCATATACCCAGAAGATGCTCGAACATATAATAAGGACATATGCTCAACTATGTTCATAGCAGCCTTATTTATAATAGCCAGGAGCTGGAAAGAACCCAGATGTCCTTCAACTGAGGAAT